ACCATGCAAGCCGGGTTTAGGAAAGTGAAGTACATTATAACCGAGACATCTTATCTTCTTCATGCTGCATTGCAGACTTTACCTTCAGGATCCTTGTATAGAGCTCTTTACACAAAAAAAAAGCAAATAGATTTATATTTTAATTTTTTGTTTCAATATGCTATTTACATGCTCAAATCAAATAGGAAAATGTAAAATTTTAGGTTATTATACAATTTCAAATAAATGGTAAAAATAATGATAATAGTGGCAAGCAGGACTATATGATTTGGTAATTAAATAGTTATTTTAAATGATTTCTAATAATAATCTGTTCAATTATCAATATTTCAGAACAACCTAAAAATAAACCACCCTCTCTATCCCTAAATTGTACCATGGGAGAAACAGGACTGTTACAGTTATTTAACACGCATACTTAAACTTATTAAAAGCATGCCATTGGCCTATTTCCTAATTAGTGACACTAATTCAGGTTCAGAATATATCAGTCCTTTTGCATTCCAAAAAAAAAACAAAATCACATCTCCAGCTTTTCTCTGTGCTGTAGACTCTGGAATAATTTTCTCTCTCTTTAAATGAATCATAATTGCAATGACTTCCTCGTCCCACCTGTGTTTCTCGATCTATTACCACATTTATTTTCCGCAGAGAGAGAGGAACACCACTTACCTGCGCCGCTGGTTTGTGTTGAAGGGGAATCTGCTGTTTTATCAGGAGCGTCCAGGCGATCGTAACCTGTTGGGTGTGATTGTTCTGGAGGGCTGCCTGGTACAGGCGTGTGAGACGGATGGTCAGTTCTGTTTCTCTTTGGTGTACACTGGACCAGGCCTCCGCACGTATAGACTAGCCGCCGATGACCATCTCAGCCAGGAGAGCTGGATCGGTGCGCTGTTCTGTGCCAGTCACATCTACCTTTCCATGATTGTCAGAGACCTGGAGAGACGCTACGAAGGTGCGTTTATCTGTATGTGTTTTTTCAGTGTCTACTGGCTTGAAGACAGTTAACATGTCTGATTGCATTTTATTCATGCCCTCAACAAAACAGAAGCTAGAAGAGACAAAGGCCTTTGTGATTCCATCCAGACCTCAGCAGTAACTTCTACACCCAATAAGATAATGGCTTCCTGGAACTCAGGACAACCCTATTTCGTACATGGGACTTCCATAGTGCCCAGAGATGGGCGGAGCTACAGCACCAGTTCTGTACCACCTCCATCTATGCCGAACAGACCCATTAGCTATAGTCTTCATGCCCCTCCTATTCAATTCAAGACTACCAATAAGCGATCTCCAAAGCTCTGGCCCAAGAGAAATGCACATGTCACACCCTTAAATGGTCCGGCACCATCTTATGGGGAGTGGCCCGTTGTGAACTTTGATCCTTTGGAAGAGTTTAGTAAACTGCACGAGTACTATGGAAATGAGATTAAGCAACTAAGAGCTGATTGGCTGAAGAAGAAGCGCACGGAAGTGGCACACGTCGAGGAGGACCTCATTGATCTTGGCTAGAGCAGCATCTGATATATATGAATGCTTATATCACATCTATGCATTTGTTCATGTTGTCGTCTAAATAGTAAATCTGGTTCTAAAACAATAGATTGATGAATGTATTAAGATGCAGTACTAGTAGAATCCTGCTGTCTTTTTAATTTTATGAAGGCCTGCAGATTAACACTGACTGACACTGATCTTGTGGCTTTTTTTTGATAAAACGTTTCTCATTTCCTCTCTGTGGTCTCTTAGCCTAGTTCCTTCTCACTTGAACTGTCATAAAGTAGACCCAAACCGCCAGTAGCTTTACCCCCACTGTTAAACTAACTATGTGCAGACATTTACAATGGCAAAAGTTCATATTGGATCCAAAGTACTTCAGATACTGTCAAATGAGGTTTGATTAGAGACTACACGTTAGTTGTTGAGCTGTAAATGCATGATAATAATTCATATTTAATTTGTTACATCTTTTAAAATATGTACTGAGAGAGCCTAATCAATAATGTGATCTTGTGAAGAGGGCGACACAAGTGACTGTTTAGTTCTGCCTTACAGAACGTGTTTCACACAGTTCAGGAGGTTTCGCAAACAAACTGAAATACACGCCCTTTATATTCTTCCTCTTTCACAACATCTCAATTCTTTGGGGATGTAGATGTGCCTTTTTTCTTTTAGTTTCTAGTGTACTCAACACATTTGGAACGTTAAACACATTAGAAGCAGCAGTTCTTTATATTACAGTCATATCAGTAAGCATCAAAATAAACTGTCAAGTTTGTATGCATTAAGCATTTCAGAGGTGCAGCTCTTTATACTGTAGGTCACCAGAGGGCACTGCACTTCACCAACAGTACTACTACTACCTTTATTCAGCCCTACTTCAGGCACAGGGGTCACTAGTTGCTTCACAACTGATAGTTTATTATTTAATGTCCTATATGTAATTATATTTGGATGATATCAGTAATGTTGGACATGTTTTTATTGTATAAATGTTTTATATATTCACAGTTTCTATGACCACCATGCTCAATGCATTGTCTTAATTGAATATAGATAAATTTTGTTATAATGCATTTGATTTGATTCATTTTGATGATAATTTGTTTAGGGATACATTTGATTGTTTTATCTAGTATTTTTCCTCGAATGTAAATTATAATCAATTCTGTAAAAATAAGTTTCATTTAATGCTAAGTTACATTTTGAGTCTGTATTTCAGCCCTGCATATTGCACAGCATCAGTAAGAATATTTTTTAAATCAGTAGGGTTGTTTGGTTTATTCAGTGTTAGTATCTATTTTATTGTACTTAATTCAACTTTTGTTGTGAACTATTATATTATTGTATCAATCAAATTCGAATAAAAGTCCTAATAAATTGTTCTGTTAAGATCTTGGTGTTATTTTATTTATTTTAATGTGGACAGATTCATCTTTAAATGTTGTGAGCAGATGTAACACAAAAATTCCTTAAAAGGTAGATATTGTGGTTAGTATAATGATTCACGAAGTCACGTTATGAAATTTTATAGGGATTCTGTGACATACATCAGAGCTCTGACAACAAAAACGCCTTAAGTGTCGGATGCAACATGATTTCAACCTTGACATCTGCGTTCTGCAGACTTCAGGTATGTCAAACCCCTACAGCGACGATGTGGCCTTTTTCACCTCATCCGGATTCCAGATGTCTCTGCTGTGATAAACAGCTTTGACGATACATGTCAGTAGATCACGTTACACGTAACATGTACTGTACGTATAGACATATACACTTTGACAGTCCATAAACAAAACAAAGATGACTGACACAGTGGCCTACAGGCCACCCTGTGAAGATACTAAATCACAGATGTGTACACAACCTGATCAGTCATCGGTCAGACATACTTGAAAAGGTTCTACAATGAACTTGTATTGTGTTTAAGAAAATCATTCTATTATGACATGAAATATCTCATATCAAGGCCTACGCTTCCTCTGACCCAGACTTTCCCTCCCCTCCCTGTTAATCTCTCTCATACACATTGAATGCTGTTCCACCATATATAGTTATAGGAGGGGTGTATTAATATAGCATATGCTATACTATATCTAATTTGAGAACCTGCCTAATCAGCTGCTTTTTCAATGACTGCAAGAGTTATCAATGTAACCTTAACATTAAATCATTACTAATGAATACATTATTATGCATACATATATTAGTTATTTACAGGAAAAGCAAGAAAATAAAATGTACTGTATACTGTATAAGCATTTTCTTTTACAGCTTATTATTACCCTTTTAAGCTTATTCATTACAACTTACATGACTTTCTGACTTTAACAGTCTCTCCATAAAAACTGCCACTCTATAAATAATTGCAGTTAAGCTATTCTATAGGAAAAAATTGCTGAAATTAACTATGAAAGATCTGGGCAAGATCTAGCCAGGGGAACAAAACACGTAAAGGACAGACTCACAAGGTATCGAATGAGCCTAAAGGAGGAAAGGAACGCAAAACAAACTGGTGTTGCTAGAAGTGGACGAGGAAGTGAATGATGGATTAAACAGAGAAGAAAAGGAGAGCTCAAGGAGCAGACAGGTTTGTTTTGCTATTTTGGTCACTCTCAGCTGTCCATTACCCCCCGCCTTTCCAAAAGAACCTGTATTAAGCCTCTGATTTCCCTTCATGTGTGTCCCATACCAACCCCTCACTGGGCTGCATTGTGCTGCTGATCATCTCAAACTGAAAGAAAAGACGATAATTATGTGCCCATACACAGAGCAGCTTCACAAACTGCACCTCAGTGACTGCAGAGTGACCGAGCGTGGTCAAAGAGCTCCAGGGGGAGAGAGGGTGCTGAATTTGGGCATGGCCATGTGGCGGGGTGAGGTGGGGGGACTTGGACCCAAATCTTATGGCATCACTATACTAGGAAAGGCATTAAAACCTATTTTTGATTAGGGCTGATTTGGAAAGAGGTGACAAGGGTTAAGATGTTACATTGGCCTCTTATATTTCAGATGGGGGCATGTACGCATATGTGAACAAGATAATCATTGGCTCAAAAAAATCTCTGGATTTACATCAATCAGTATCTATTATTGCAACCTCCCCCATACCAACCCCAGGATTCAGATGTAACACTGAAAACCAAATATTGATCCGCCACTAATCTAAACATAGGTGTGTCTGATTACAGCCCATTCATTTCAAATTGCTTGAGTTATGCGATTGTGCAAAGCTCAAACAGGCCCTTACGTCTCCATGTCCTTATTAGTCTACGTGAGACACGCAGACTGCTGCCATCAGTATCAGATTCATCCCATTCCAAGACTCTAATAGCTATTTCTGAGCACTGTAAGATGATAGTGCATCCCACCCTGTGTTCCTTCATCGCTTTACCCCTACCTCATCTCTCTCGCCTTTCATAGTTTTCCCTGTCTCTATTTCTTCCCTCTGTCTTTTCCCAAGCCACACTTAAGGTTGGATCTATAATTAGCAAGGGGCCTTCGGCAGTATATAAGCCCCCCAGGAACAAGTCACCACGCGGCTTCAGTCTTCACTTCTTGAGCTTCTTAGACTTCACACATACCGTCTCTCAGCATGGTGAGTAACCTGAACCTTAGATGTTACCTGGCCACACCAACTAGGTGGACACATAGGAACCAAGGACATAATGCCTCAGTCTCAGCAGGGTTGAATGGAAGAGAGCTTGCATTATGAATCAGCGTCTGATTCTTGGATAATTGAACTGTGGACTTATAATGCATTTAACAGGATATGATAAACTGGGTATTTTTTCTGAAGCTGTTCTTTCTGATCCTATGTTGTTGGAACTAGGACCAGCAATTATAAACTGCTAAACTGAGTGGTTTTGCTTTCACTTCCAATGAAATATGGGATTTTTTTGTAATTTTCTGTAAGATGTTAAATTAAGAATATATAGAATATTGCCTATATATAGTTTTACCAGAAAGCATAATGTACGAATGTAAAGCTAATGAATTCAGTTTTATTAATCATTGAGGAGCGACCTATGTAAAGATCATTATTTTGATGTATATCACATGTAAAAATGTATGTTTCATTAGAATGTGGCTGAACAGGATTTTATTAACAATAAATATGTAAAAATGTCTTATGAATGAGTCTTGTGTCTCTAAGCTCTGTGTGGCATTGCAATGTCAATGCATGATTTTCTGTTTCTGTCATTATGTATTATTGTCAACAACACAGAGGAAATATGCACAATTCAGCAGTGCTGACTGTTAAAAAAAAATATATTTTTCTTTCTAGTCACCCAAGAAGGCCAAGAGGAGGGCAGGAGGAGGAGAGGGTTCCTCCAACGTGTTCTCCATGTTTGAGCAGAGCCAGATTCAGGAGTATAAAGAGGTAAATATTTTTTCAGATCTTATAATTAATACAAGTAGACTCCATATTTTTAGGACATTATATATTGTAAATATGTTTAGTTACATTTTCACTTTTTTATGTATTATCAAAGTCCAAATGAGATTTCTGGGGGTAAATGTTACCAGACATAGACCTTATCATAGATGTTGCTACTGAACTGGAATTCTAATTCTAATATGATCAAATTCTGTTATCAGGTTAAAACGTATTTGTATTAAGGCTTGTTTGATGGTCAGTACAGCAAATGGACTGAGTCAACAGATTGACATCATCTAGTCTTTTTGTGTTGTCTGCTAACATCCAAAAAAAGAAAAATGCCCCAGCCTTCCTCTTCTCTGCCCTCCCATCTGTCAGACACTCCTGAACTCCTGATCCCAATGGGATGGCAGCTGAAGATCATAGCGCATGCCAGAGGGACAGAAAGAAATCATGTGTAACATATGATGGACAAGATAAAAGAGAAGGGAAATAAAACACAGTTAATGAGGATTATGTTTAAGGGCCCTTTGCAGGAAGGGAACATTAAATGCGTATTAGACTTCTGAATGGACCTTGAAATGACAAATAATACACAAAAGAAATACCAGAAAAAAAAAACAGATTTACCAGTAGTTGACTATACTTATGGCTGTTAGACATTGTGATTAATCTAAATTAATTTCATTATCTCAGACACCAAGTAAAAAAGTATGTATACGCACATGCTAAACGGATGAGTTGACTGGAATTATCGTCAGGCTAGTGTGCGACTGAGCTAAGTAAGGATGTGAAGTGGTTTGAATGGTTTATTAATAAATGATACAGCCTTCTCAAGTGCCTCTCCAG